ATGGAGCATCACTGAATGACATAAATTAATGAAGTGCACTCAGGAAAAAACCCCAGTAATTCAAGCAATAATGTATCTAATAAAGAAATGGAATTTGTAGTTAAAAAAAATTCACACAAGAAAATAAGTTAATGGAAGAAAACATCCCAAATATTTCAAGAGAATATACATTGAAGAAACTGAGCTGAATTCTAAACAAGTTAGATAAAAAAAAATCAAGACATAATCAAATTTTCCAAAATTAAAGACAAAAAAAGAATACTGAAAGCAGCAAAGAAGAAGCAGTAAGATTACAATCTGATTTCTCAGAAGAAATTACGCATGCAGAAAGACAATGGGACAGCTCTGAAAGAAAAAACTATTGCCAACAAAGAATTCTAACCCAGTCTCTCAAATATGACAGTGAAAACAAGACATTTCCAGATATACAGAAACATGATAATTGGTGTAAACTAGGCCAGTAAGGACCAGTCCTTGGAGAGGGACATTATGGTTGGAAGGGTGGACGGTCAGTGCAGGAAAGGAAGACCCCAAATGAGATAGATTGACACAGTAACTGAGGTAATGAGGGCAGGTGTGTCAGGATAAAGCAAGGTTCAGAGCTATTGTGCACAGTTGACTTGATGACAAATGACAACAACAACCCAACATTATAAGAAATACTCAAGGGAGTTCTTGAGATTGAAAGCCAGAAATGACAGACAACTCAAAAGTAATGTTATTGTTGTTACGTGCCTTCGAGTAGCTTGTGATGCATAGTGACCCTATGTACAACAGCCCTAAACTCTGCTCTGTCCTGTGCCAGTTGCACTGTCTCTGATACACCCATCCCAATTACACCAGTCACTGAATCAATCAACCTCATAGAGGGCCTTCCCCTCCTGCGCTGTCCCTCCACCCTCCCAAGCATGATGTTCCTCTCCAAGGACCGGTCCCTCCTTACAATATGTCCAAAGTATGTTAGACAAAGCCTCAGAATCCTTGCCTCCAAGTAGCCACCCAGTTTAACCCTCTCCAGGATGAATATGTTTGTTTTCCTAGCAGTGCATGGTACCCTCAATACTCTTCTCCAGCACCACAGCTCAAAGGCATCAATTCTCCTTCTATCCTCCCTAGTCATTGTCCAACTCTCTGATGCATAAAAAGTGATTGCAAACACCGTGGCCCATATCAGAAGCACCTTAGTCTCCATAAAGACACCATTGCTCTTCAGTACTTCTGAGAGGTCCCTACCAGCAGACTTTCCCATTGAAATATGTCTTTTAATTTACTGGCGAATGTGAAACCTATACTTGGACCAAGAGGCAGTCGTCAGAACAGAGCAAGGAAACACTGCATAGTTCAAAATTGGGAAGGGCATACCCCAGGGATGTGTCCTGTCTCCATACCTTTTCAACTTGTATGCATAACAGATTTACCTGGAGGCTGGGCTCTATGAGGAGAAATGTGGGGTCAGGATTGGTGGAAGATCTATCAACAACCTGCGTTATGCGGATGACACAACCCTGCTCGCTGAAACTGAGGAGGACCTGAAGCACTTGCTGCAGAGGGTCAAGGACTGCAGTCTCCAATATGGATTGAGGCTCAATGTCAAGAAGACAAAGATTCTCACCATTGGACCAATTGGCACCATCAGAATGGATGGTGAAGAGATTGAGATTGTTCACAGCTTTAGTTTGCTTGGCTCCACAGTCAACACTCTCGGCACCAGTAGCCAGGAAATTAAAAGATGTACTGCAAAATTAATGTACAAGACAATATCTTTCAGAAACTGACTCGTACCTGAATTTATGCTATCATGCACCATTGAATCAAAACTAAACTTTTAGTTGACCCTCCAGAGGGTCTTCAGAGGATTTAAATCACATAGGAGGAGACTGCCCATCTTTTTCTTCGTGGAACAGCTTGTTGATCGAATCTTCTGGTTGGTATTGCAACTCCTTACCACTACACCACCATAGCTTCCTACCTAATAATATACAGAGTAAAATAAACATGCTGAAAACAAGGAAACAGAAATATCGATCTGTAAATGAGGACAACTACAATGCAAAAAGAGAAAAGAGGGAATGAGAAGTGTAGTTACAGAACTGTTAAATAAAGAGAAAGTCAAAGTGATGTCAAGGTAAAGTGCACTCTTTCAGACTCAGGAATAAGATAGTAACTCATAGGGTAGCCTCCAAAAATGTATTATGCTTCCTTTTCAAAATGAAAAATAGGAAAACCATGACGACTTAGTAAACACAAAGACAGCAACAATGAAGGAGACAAGAAAAATCCATAAACAATATTAACTCATCACAGAAAAGATGGAACAAAGAAACTAACAACAGCACAAAAAGAAGCGCATCCAAAGAATAGCAACAAGCCATGCTATTGAAAAGGAGGTCGCTCTGGAGGTGCAATCCACAGTGAGCTACACTACTAACCCCAAAGTCCACATCTCTTGAGGTTCAACCCTCAGGGGAAATATGGCAATCTCCTGTTAGGGTTTACAGACTCAGAAACCAGATGGATGGTTGCTGTGAGTTGGAATTGACCCAATGACAATTGACAATGAATGTTTTAGTTGGTGTGTGTGTGTGTGTGTGTGTGTGTGTGTGTGTGTGTGTGTGTGTTTTCTTCTTCTTGTGTACCATTGAAGCCGACTGTCACAGGAGGAGATTGCCTCTCCTTCTCCAGAGGAGCATCTGGTGGATTCAAGCTGTGTACTTCCAGGATTGCCGCGTAGCTTCTTGCCACTAGGCCATCAGAGCTCCCTTAGTTGTTGCTTTTAAATCTATAATTACACTAAATGTGAGTGGATTAGGTGCACCAATCAAGAGAAAAAATACTCATAGAATGGATAAGAAAACATTTCCCTTAGAAAAAGGAAAGCATTTCCCATCAACAAAGTACACCCTATGAATAATGGATTTGAACTTTGCCCTAAATTGTGCCATCCTCATCATGTACTTGAGCCCATTGTCACAATCACTGTGTAACCACTCTTTTCAGGATCTTCCTCTCCTATGTCAACCTTTCCAAGCATGATGTTCTTTTCCAAGGACTGGTCCCTCCTAACAACATGGCCAAAGTATGTGAGATGAAATTTCAACATCCTTGCCTCAAAAGAGCACCCTGATTGCACCTTCTCCAAAAAAGTTTTGGGTTTTTTTTTTTTTAATTTTTTTACACTGGTTTATTTACAAAATTATTTACATTGTTTTTCTCACCGGATCTTTCCTATTTCCTTCACTACCCCCCCCCCAATCAGATTGTATGACACTATGATTAAGATTACTAATCTCCCTCCCCATCCATCCTCACCCCTCTGCTCATGCTCTCCCCCCCTTGGATCCTCATACTCATTCTACAATAATGGTTTTATATAGTATTTGTCCTTATGGGACTAAATTAGTTCACTCAACATAATACTCTCCAAATCCTCCCAAATTAGACAGTAATTTTAAAAATAATCATTGCTTCTGCATGCTGCTTAGTATTCCATTGTGTGAATGTCCCATAATTTCTCAATCCATTCAATTGTGGACAATCTGGGGTCTCATCTCGCTCCAGTAGCAGTGGCAAAGTTTAACAGGACAGCAAGTAATAAATGTTAGAGAGGATGTGGCGAGTTAGGAACTGTTATGCATTGTTGATCGGATTGTAAAATGTTACAACCACTCTGGAAGGCAGTTTCATTCTTCCTCAAAAAGCTGAACATAGAAATTCCACATAACCCAGCTATTCCACTGCTTGGAATACACCCTGAGAAAATGAGAACTGAGGCACATTTGGGGACTTGTACATTAATGTTCATAGCAGCGTTATTCACCATCGCGATAACATGGAAACAGTCCAAGAGAGACGTGATTATTCTTTTGTTGGTTCATTTTGTACTCTTCTCCATAACCACAATTCAAATTCTTCTTCTGTCCTTATTCATTGCCTAGTTTTCAGATGGTTAGCAAGTAATTGAAAAGACAATGGCTTGCATTAGGCACATTTCATTGTTGCTGTTGTTAGATGCTGTTGATTATGACTCATACACTTGTAGCAACCCTATGAACAACAGATCTGAACCCTGTCTTATCCTGTGCCAATTTCATGATCTTTTGTTTGTGCTTTCACAACACACTTGAGCTGCTGTCCCTGTGTCAATCCGCATGGTTGAGAGTCTTCCTGTCCTTCACCATTCCCCCACCTTTCGAAGCATAATGTCCCTCTCCATGGAATAATCTCTCCTAGCAACATGCCCAAAGTATGTGAGATGAAACTTCACCATTCTTGCCTCTAAGGAGCACTTTGATTGCACTTTTCCCAAGACATAACTATTTGTTCTTTTGGCAGTCCATGGGATATGCGGTACTCTTTCCCAAGTTCAAAGCATCAATTTTTCTTTTGTCATTCATTGTGCAGCTCTCAGAATCTTCTTGTTGTTGTGTGCCATCAAGTTGGAACATAGTTGATCTCCTTGAAATAAAATTCATAAATTCTCTTAGAACCAACTGAATGCCAAAAAAGGTATTTATTTATCCTAGACTAAGGGAGTTTGGCATGCAGGTGGTATAGCACTGGTCTGTGCGTTGCTGTACAGAGGTAACTCGTGGTTGCTGTGATGCTGAACACTGTGTGTGAGGTGCCAATCGTGGTAATGGGTACCCATGGTGAACGGTGTTGGCTGGAGCCTCCTGACTAAATCAAGCCTGGAAGCAGGAGCGGCATCCACTTCCTAAATGGCTTGCCTCCGGAAACTCTATGTACAAACAGTGCTCAGGCTGTTCATTCATAGGGTCGCTATGAGTCGTCTACGACTCAACGGCATCAAACAACAACAACAACAACAAGGGAGTTTGGTGTTAGCAGCAAGTTGTGCTATAATCCCAAAGACACACATGTCAAGGAGGTTACATGGTACTAAGAAAGGTGAACTTCATCAAACTAGAATATTTGTTAGAGTTTGAGAAGAATGTGAGAGGTGGCCTGTATGAACTTGATATTTGTGGTTTCCCTTCCAGAGAGATGTCTTCTGTGACCTTGGCAGAGGAATTCTAGACAATGCCTGGCAAGGCTATAATGCGACGCTCCTAGCCTATGGTCAAACTGGCTCTGGGAAAAGCTATTCCATGATTGGATTTGGTGCAAATAAAGGCATCATTCCAAATGTGTGTGAGGAGCTCTTCCAAGCCATTGAAAATCAGGGGAAAAGTCAAGAATACCAGGTATGTATTGTAGAACCTCTACTTTGAGGATTTTTTTTTTTCATTTGAATCCACATTCCAAGGGAAATAATCTCAGCATACCTGTGATATTTTAGGATAATATTCACTTTTCTTATGAAAGTGTTTACTTGATCATGAAATCATGAAGCAGTTAATAAGATTGTATGGGGGGTTATTTAATGAAAGAAAACCAAGGAAATATTTTAGAGCATTTGGGAGATCATAGAAGCAGACATTGATAAATATAGTGTTTATTGTGGTTGTTAGTTGCTGCTGGATCAAGTTCATACAACAAATTAAGATTCTGAGTCTTGCATCCTCTTCACTATGGCCCATGTCCAGGTCCATTGTTGGAGTCCCTGTCTAATATTTTGCCCATGGCTTTCTGTTTAGAAGGCGGTCTAATGGCATAGTGTGTTACATTACATTACATTACATTACATTACATTACATTACATTACATTACATTACATTACATTACATTACATTACATGACATGTTCACTGCTGATCCCAAGCACTCCCAGGTGTTATTGTAATGAAAATCCCAACTTTTCTGACCATCTCTCTCCCCTTTCCCTTCCCATATTAATCCCCACAGTTTATTATTTTTAACTCTGGTGGGTTTTTAGTTCTGCTCAAGTTTTGCCAGTGTGAGCTGTGGTAATGGAGAAGACTACTTAATATCCCACAAGCTGCCAAAAGAATGAACAGGTATGTCTTGGAAAAAGTGCAGCCAGAGTGCTCCTTGGAGGCAAGGACAGTGAAGCTTTATATGTCACACTTTGGGCATGTTGTTAGGAGATGCTATTCCTTGGAAAATGATAGTATGCTTGGAAATATGGACAGTCAGCTAAGGAGAGGAAGATCCTTACCAGGTGGATTGGCACAGTGGCTGCAGCAATGAGCTCAAGTGTATCAGAAATGGTGAGGATAGCACACATAGAGTAGGGTTCAAATCTGTTGTTCATAGAGTCACTGTGAGTCATACTTGACTTGATGGCCACTAACAATGACAATCACCACCGTGGTTAGAAATAATGCCGTTCTCAAGAACATGGAAACAGCCCAACCGCAATCAAATGGATTGAGAAATTGTACATGATGGGATACTATGCAGCGCTCAGGAGCAATGATTTAGAAAATTACTACATAACTTGGGAGAGACTGGAGAGCATTATGTTGAGTGAAAAAACTCAGTCTCATAAGACAAACCTGTATAAGATCATTATTGTAGAAATAGAAAGATAACTAGTAAAACGTGTATGAAGATCCAAGGAGGGGAGCGTAGGAGCAGTGGGTTGAGGATGGGCAGGGGCTTAACCATAGGTTGGCACAATTTGATAAGGGGGGCTAGGTAAAGGAAATGAGAAAGGTCTGGGGCAGATCTGGAAAAGCAGATGGTGGGCATAATTCAATGCTTTTTACCTTTATAAAATATAATGAATGGGAATGATTGTATGAAACACAATGTAAATGAAGGATAGTGTGAAACACAACTTTATGAACTTTGTAAGCAAACCAATATAAAATAAAACTTTTTAATTTATTCAAACATAATGGTGTGTGGATTGAAGAGCTGTATTGTGAATTGGTTCCGATCCTGCATTGTAACCTATTGCTTCCCTATTAACCATCATAATCTGGAGCCTGCTCTGTGAGTCCCGCGTAGCCAGTGTGATGAAATGTGATACCCAGTGGAGAAGGACAGTGAGTGCCCTGACTGGGATGGCTGGTGTCAGAACTGATAGAAAGGTTGTACTTCCACCTTGCAGAGATCTACCTTAATCTGTAAACTTGCATTCTCTTTCTGTTTGTGCAGTTGGAGGAGGCCAGACGCTTCCACAGGGCCGATTTTACAGTGAATGGTTTCCTTCCATGCTCTGCATTGTCATTCCCCCCACTTGTTTGTGGTTTTCTCCTTTAAATCCCTCTTTCTTATTGGAGACATTTTCTGTTTTATAACCCAGCCATCATTTTAAGATATGACAAAGCTAGTGAAGAGAGCTAGTGGATAAGCTCTGGTCTGCTAACTAAGAGGACCAAATGAGGTTCAAAGGCAGCCAGCAGCTCTGTGAGAAAACGGTCTGTTCGTGTGATGTTTATAGCCTGGAAATCCTGCAGGGTAGTTCTTACCTGTGAGAACTCCTGTGGGGAGCGAGGAATCAGATGTTACCATCATAGTACCCTCCGCCACATGTGAATTGAGAGGGGTCTCGTGGGTATTAGGCTCGACTAGTTAGTTTATCAATTTGCCAACTAGGCATTTTGTTGGGGACTGTATGGTAAAAAATGCCATTTCCCTTCCCAAAGATGATTGGGTCAAGACAACCGTGTCTTATTTTATGTTTTTCCCTATACAGGTTACATTCAGCATGCTGGAGATTTACAATGAGCAGGTGATTATATTTCCTGACACAAATCTGTGTGACACAAACCAGCATCCTGGGCTTGTCATCATCCATCCTCCAGATGACATTTAAGCTCTTTAGCCTGGAGTTCACTCTCAGGCACTTGCTTACTCTACAGCTTCATCTTACATTGTTTTGTCTCAATACAGTCTATGCCTCAGCTCCACGGAGCTATTCCTCTTCCCAGAATGTGTCATTCTTTCACACACTTATCTGTTCTGGACTTGGAAGGCTCTTCCTGCTTTCTCCACCCTTAAAGGAAACACTAATATTTAAGACCTTGCTCTACTGTAACATCTTTCTTTCCTGAGACAGCAGTCTTCAGTCAGCATGGAGTTGTACAGGGACTGGTAAACTTTTCTCCTGGTAAGAGCCAGATAGTAAATATTTCTGGATTTCAGAGCCATATGGTTTGTGTCACAACCACTTAGAGCACAAGCAGCCATACATATGTAAATACATAATTGTGGCTGTGTTCCAATAAAACTTTATTTATAAACATGGAAGCTTCAATCACTCCCCCTCTGTTGATAACCAGATGCAAAAAGAAAACGGGGATACGAGGAAATGAATTCTGGAAAAGAGAAAGGCTTAGGCAGAGGTCCTCTCACAGCTTAGCACTGTGAAAAGGTCCCTTATTCAGCCTCACTATGGTTTTTATTTCATTTAAGCCAATAATCATAAAAAATATTCTATCTCTGGAGACTATAATTTTCCTTATACTTAAGTGTTGCCAACATAACAATGCATAAGCTTAATCTTTAAACTAAAACCAAAGTTCAGATGTCAAAAGTTTCCTCTGGTGGGAAATTGGGAGGAACCTTCTGTTTGCAGAGGGCATTCAGTATCTCTTCAAGGGGGCTGGACGGAGTTCTCTGTTTGTAGAGGGCTCCCAGTCCTGCCTGGACTCTGAGCTCAGCTTTGGCCTAACTATGCCGAGCTATCCACACCCCTCACCCTTTCATAACATTTAAAATTGAAAGAAATCTGTTGCTGTTTGAGGATGAGACAAAAACAAGTAGCAGACAGAATTTAGTCCACAGGCTAGAGTTTGGGAACTCCGGAGTTGTTCCAAATCCCAGCTCCCTCATTTACCTGCTGCTTGACTCTGGAAAACTACTTCATCCCTGTATCTCAGTTTGCTCACTGACGAAACAGAGGTTTTATAAATGTAAAGTCTACTCAGTTGTAAATGTCTAAAACAGTCTCACAAATGCTAGCTAATGAGCAAGTGTTTTCTTCATTGTGCCCTTTCCTTTTGTCTATATTTTATTACACTTAAGATTCATTTACATGCTTGTATCCCCGAACTGGAAAATAAAATAACTGCCTTTTTTTAGAAAACAAAAAGTTTATTCTACCTTCCTTAATTATGACAGTTTTCCTTATCTTCTTGCTTGTCACTTGCTTCATTTCCCTACTTGGGTGAAGTATAGGTTGTTTGATACCTATAAAGGTTTGACATCTGTTCATTTATGCATTCATTAATTTAGTAAGTAAATATTTGGTGTGTTATATAGTCTAGACAAAGATACAGTAGTGAAGGAAACAGGCATCTCTTAGTTTCCATTAGTAGGTGTCTGTTGGGTTTTTTTTTCTTCTTTCCTACAGGTAAGAGATCTGCTGTCCAGTACCAAGAAACCTGGTGGGTTAAAAATCAGGGAAGACCAACAGCTGGGCTTTTATGTGGATGGTCTGACGTCGGTGCCATGTGAGAACTACACACAGATTGAAAGACTGATGGAGCAAGGAACAAAAATAAGGACAACGGCTTCAACCAACATAAATGCCAGCAGTAGCCGATCCCACATGGTCATCACCATTCAGTTCAAGCAGGTGAGATTCAGATGATGGCCTACTCTCCATCTCTAACCAACAATGGTGCATGGGGCAGGTTTCCAATGTCATAGTCAGTGGGTGAGTATTATGGAGTTCTTTTAGCTTTGACCTATGGATTGAAATATCTACTTCCAACTGTAGAACAGATATTCCTATCCTGTTCCTCTTGGCCTCACAGCTATGACTGTCATGGTCCAAGAAAACACAGCAGCCAATAGTTTAGGTTGTAGTTGTTGTCGTTGTGTACATTAGTGTCAGAACCAACCAATAGCTGACCCTTCCGTGAGTTTTCAGAGGTAATAAATAGCATGGGAGGAGACTGCAGAGCAGCTGGTGGATTCAAACTGGTTTTGGGTTGGCACTTCAGCTCCTTACTACTACACCACCAGAGCTCCCTTAGATGATAGTAGGGCCGACTATATCTCAGAGGAGCTAATGTCCTGGAAGGCTACTTTCCTTCAGACAGATTCTGTGCTCAGATGAATTAATTTCAACCCAAAGTTGATTAAAGAGCAAATGGTGAAGGTATGAGAATGACTGGTTACCATGGGTAACTGGTTACCGTAGCTTCCAGTATCCCAGTGAATGAGTATCTAAAACCCAAGACATTTGGTTTGTGTGTAAATGTTGTTGTTGTTGTTGTTATGTACTGTCAAGTCTGAGCCAACTCATAGATGACCCTCCAGCACTTTTTTAGAGGATATAAATTACACAAGAGGCTCTTTCTCTTACTGAAAAACTGATGGATTCGAACTAAATGTTTTTGGGTTGGTGGCTCAACTCCTTACCCTATACCACCAGTGCTCACTTATAGTCTTAGTTAGATAGCTGTAAGTGAAGACTGTCTGGCCAAGAACACTGGGCATGGAGGCAAGAAACTGGCTAAGTCTGACTTCTCTGACTTTCAGCTCTGAAACTATGGTAAATAACTTATTCTCTCTGAGCCTGTTTCCTTTATGTAAAATGAGATAGCTCCCTGCCCCCCACGGCCCCCAAGAATTTTATTGTTGCTGTAATATGCTCTTAAGTACATTCTGACTCATAGTAATAACTCTAAGTATGTCAGTATGGAACTGCCCAATCTTGTACTAGTTTCATAGTTCTTGCTGTCTTTGAACCTAGTATTGTAACCACCGCATCAATACATCTTGAAGGTCTTCCTCTTTTTGCTAACCCTCTGCTTTATTCTTATTCAGGAGCAGGTCCTTCTGATGACTGGTCCAGAGGATCTGAGATGAAATCTCATCATTTTCCCTTTTCAGAAGGATTTTGACTGTATTTCTTCCAGGATAGGTGTATTCTTTCTTCTGACAATCCATTCCTTACTTTCCCCAACACCATAATTCAGAGGCATCAATTCCTCATTCTTCCAGTGAATAATTATCTGGTTTTGGCGTGAATCTATTGATGACTAACAATATCATAGCTTGGCTCAGGTGCACCTTAGTCTTCAAAGTGATACTTTTGCTTTTCAATAAAGAAGAGGTCTTTCTTAGCAGGAATGTTGCAAGTCTAAAGCTGTAAGTCTTAAGTCACAGTGTGACAATAAGTTCTAAAGAACTATGTAAGCTTTTAAAGGATGATTCACTTGCTTTTACAATGCTTTATGTATGACTTTCCCGGTAGTTTTAAAATTTGATATTTTGGAAGCAAAAAAAGAAATCAGCTGAAAATAATAGAGGGAAGATTTAACACCATAGTTTGTTTACTGGTTTCAGTAATGGCAATAGTAGAGTCAGTACCTCTCATTAGAATAGCAAGATAGGTAGATGCTAGAATGTTAAACCACAGAATATCAACTAGTAGTTCAGGGATAAAAATAATCTGTGTATCTCTGATCCTAGTTATGTTAAGTATAATGTCTATTATCTTTAACACTTGTAACAGTCCAGTAGGGAACTCTGGTGGTATAGACTATAGGAACTTGTGTTGCTAATCCAAATGCCATTAACTCTGGCAGTTCAAATCCACCAGTGACTCTCTGGGAGAAAGATGGGCAATCTCCTTCCGTGAATTTACAGCCTTAGAGGCCCAATGGAAGGTCAGTTCTGAGTCAGTACCAACTTGATGGTGATGGGTTGTTTGTTGTTTTGTTTTGGTTTTGGATTCCCGCCCTCCCTCCAATTGAACATCCCAGTAAAATAGTGTTATCCTCCTTTTACAAATAAGAAAGTTGAAACTTTGCAGTGTAATTTTTCCTTGTGGCCACCAAGGGTGTCTGTTTTTGCTGTTGGGTACTATCAGGTTAGAACTGACTCACAGCTACCCCTCCAGTGGGCTTTCAGAAGCTATATATCACACAGGAAGAGACCTCCCATCTTTTCTTCCATTGAACAGCTGATGAATTTGAACCCTTTGCCTTTGGACTGAGAGTACAACTCAATGCCATGAGACCACCTGAGCTCCACAGGGGATCTGTAGGATTCTGTTTCCTTCCTTCCTTCCTTCCTTCCTTCCTTCCTTCCTTCCTTCCTTCCTTCCTTCCTCTCTCTTTCTTTTTATGCACTGTTGAGTTGGATCCAACTGGCACAGGAGGAGATTGCCTCTCCTTATCCAGTAGAGCAGCTGGTGGATTTGAACTGCATGCCTTTGGGATTGTAGTACAGCTTCTTGCCACTAGGCCACCAGAGCTCCCTTTGCAGAATTCTAAAGTGCCTGTTCTTTACACAACATGATTGTACAATTCCGGATAATTATTTTGCAGATTTAATAATATTTTATATTTTTAAAAAATGATTGAGAATAGAAATATTGGACTACAAGCATTCGATGGGCATGCCTGTATTTTAAATGTGATAGTGCTGGGCTAAATCTTCAGCTTGGAGGCTCCTGTGAATTGGTTTGACTCTGAAAAATAGTTTCTTCCTTCTTGATGAGGGTCATGTGTGGAATGTTTGATTGTTTTTTGGCTTTTTTTGTCCATAGTGGGTGTCAACTGATTAGACTTGCCAGATATACTAACAATGATCTATGACCTGGGGGTCTCTGGTTTATAGTCAACCAGCATTTGATGAGTGTGCCTGTATTTAAAAGTGTGGTAAGGACTCACCTGTTTTAATTTATTTTGGGTTGAACATTGTTTTAAATCATCAGTTGTCTTTTTGCTGTACTGAAGTAACTTGGAATTACTGTGATGCTGAACACTGTGCCATAGGTGTGTCAAACACCATAATGGTTGCCATCATGGACAGCGTTTGGTGAAGTTCCCTGATTGATTCAGGTTTGGGAGCAGGAGTGACATCCACTTCCTGAAGCATACGCCCCTGGAAACTCTATGAACATAGATCAACAATGATAGTTATAGAACAAGTTTCAGATCTTTTGTTCATAGGGTGCACTCAACTCTATGGCACTTAACAACAACAGGATTAGAGGGGGCATCTGAGATATTTGGACCTTGTAGTGTTAGGACCAAGAGTATTTGTCATTCTGTTGTTCTGAGCCAGGACCAACTCAGTGGAACAGTGGCACTTACCAATAACTTTAAAGTAATATTCTAAATTGTAATTGTATGGAAACCTAATTTATTTCTCTTGTTCTAGGAGCTCTGGTGGTGTAGGCCATAGAGAATTCCACCGCTAACCCAGGAGTGGTACTTCTCTGGAGGACCAAATTCACCAGCAGCTCCAGGGAGAAAGATGGTCAATCTCCTCCTGTGTGATTTACTGCCTCCTGGAAACCTGCTGGAGGGTCAGCTAGGAGTCAATTCTGCCTCAATGGCAATAAATTAAAGAGTTAATGTTATTAATTTTTTGCTCCAAATATGAAATTCATTTACAAGAAACATTGCACCATGAAAACCAGAATGACTTAACATGCCATCTGCCTTTTATGCTCTGATAGCATAACCCACGGTGTTTTCTTACAGGTTGCTCTGGACAACGGCCTCACCAAGCAATCCAGCATCAACCTGGTGGACTTGGCAGGAAGTGAAAGACAGAAATCTTCTGGCTCTGAAGGGGACAGACTCCGGGAAGGGTCACGAGTCAACTTAAGTTTAACCAGTTTAGGAAATGTTATCAGGTGAATATGTTTGTGTCATTAAAATGACTTCAGGTACTAAAAAATGAATTTGAATCCTTAGGACAATGTGATTGTCATAACTGGTTCATGCCCGACCCTCTTTTATTTTACACTAACTATATTCCATTTGATTTTGCTTTGTCATCCCGTGCTGCCTTTTGAAATCTTCTATTCAACTCTTTAGTATCTTGAATTCTTCCCTGTGCTTTGGCTTCTTTGCGCTCCAGTGCAATTTTCAGAGTCTCTTCTGACATCCATTTTGGTCTTTTCTTCCTCTTCTGTCTTTGCAATGAC